GTATGATCTTTCTGATGTACTGCTGGGGCCGATTTGCTAGAATTTTGTTGAGGATTTTGGCCTCTATGTTCATGAGGGATATTGGCCTGTAATTCTCTTTCATTGTGTTGTCTTTATCTGGTTTTGGTATTAGGGTGATGCTGGCTTTATAGAAGGAGTTTGGAAGTGTTCATTCCTCTTTAATTTTTTTGAATAGTCTGAGAAGTATAGGTTTTAGTTCTTCCTTGAATGTTTGGTAAAACTCTCCTGTGAAGCCGTCTGGCTCTAGGCTTTTGTTTGCTGGAAGCTTTTTCATGACTGCTTCATTTTCTTCCATAGTTACTGGCCTATTGAGCTGTTTAGATTCTTCCTGATTGAATTTTGGAAGTTTATATTTTTCTAGGAATATGTCCATTTCCTCCAGGTTGTCCAGTTTGTTGGAATAGAGTTGTTTGTAGTATTTTGTTACAATCCTTTGTATTTCAGTGGGGTCTGTTGTTATTTCACCTCTTTCATTTCTAATTTTTATTTGGGTCCTCTCTCTTTGCTTCTTGGTGAGCCTGGCTAAAGGTTCATCAATATTGTTTATCCTTTCAAAGAACCAGCTCTTGGTTTTGTTGATCTTTCTTATTGTTTCTTTGGCCTCTATGTCATTTACCTCCACTCTGATTTTTATTTTTTCCTTCCTTCTGCTTACACTGGGCTTTTCCCCTAACTTTGTTGCTCTTTCTAACTCTGAGTTGTAGGGTTAGGTGATTTATTACCATTGTTTCTTGTGTGTGTGTGTGTGTGTGTGTTTGCAGTAGGCTTGTAGAGATATGAAGTTCCCTCTTGTGACTGCTTTCTCTATGTCCCATAGATTTTGGATTGTTGTGTTTTCATTGTCATTTGTTGCTATGATGTTTTTTATTTCTTCCTTGATCTCTCTGGTAACCCAGCAATTGTTTAATAGCATGCTGTTTAGTCTCCATGTGTTTGATTTCTTTGGATTGTTTTTATTGTAGTTAATTCCCAGTTTTGTGCCATTGTAATCTGAGAAGATCCTTGATATTATTTTTATCTTCTTGAATTTGAAGAGACTTTGCCTATGTCCCAACATGTGGTCTATCTTTGAAAATGACACGTGCACTTGAGAAGAATATATATTCTGTGGTTTTGAGGTGAAATGTTCTGAAGATGTCAATTAATTCCATTTGGTATAGTGAGTCATTTAGAATTGATGTTTCTTTGCTGATTATTTGTTTAGAGGACTTGTCCAATGGTGATAGTGGGGTATTAAAGTCTCCATGATTGTATTGCTATTAATCTCTCCCTTAATATCATTTTGTTGTTGTTTTTTGTTTTAATATATTTGGCTTCTCCTGTATTGGGTGTGTACATGTTTACAAGTTATTTCTTCTTGTTTGATTGCTCCCTTTAGTATTATGAAGTGACCTTCCTTACCTCTTATGTCCTTCACTTTGACATCTAATTTGTCAGATATAAGTATTGCTACCCCAGCTTTTTTGTTTTTTGTTTTTTTTTTCATTTCCATTCACCTGGAAAACCTTTTTTCCATCCCTTCACCCTCAGTCTGTGTGCACTTTTTTCCCGAAATGGGTTTCTTGTAGACAGCAGATATATGGATCTTGTTTTCTTATCCAATCTGTTACCCTATGTCTTTTGATTGGGGCATTTAATCCATTTACATTTAAAGTTAATATTGATACTTATTTGTCACCATTTTTATTCTATACCCCATGTGTTCCTTCTTCACTTTCTATTTCTATTTCTTTTTCTTTTTACAGCAGACCCTTTAGCATTTCTTGCATTGCTGATTTGGTGGTGATAAATTCCCTTAGTCTTTTTTTGTCTGTGAAGCTCCTGATCTCACCTTCAATTTTGATTGATAGTCTTGCTGGGTACAGTATTCTTGCATTCAGACCTTTCCTTTGCATGACTTTGTATATTTCATTAAATTCCCTTCTGGCCTGATGAGATTCTGTTGAGAAATCAGTTGCTAGTCTGATGGGGGTTTCTTTGTATGTAACTTTCTCTCTCTCTCTGGCTGCTTTTAAGCTTCTTACTTTGTCACTGGTGTTTGCCAATTTAATTATAATGTGCCTTGGCGTTGGTCTTTTGGGGTTCATTTTGCTTGGGACTCTGCAAGCTTCTTAGATTTGTATGGGTTTTTTCTTCCCTATATCAGGAAAGTTTTCTGTCATTATTTCTTGAAACAGGTTTTCTATTCCTTGCTTAGTTTCCTTTCCTTCTGGAACCCCTATTATGCGAATATTGTTTTGTTTCGTGCTATCCCAAAGTTCCCTTAGGCTCTCCTCCTGCTTTTTAATTATTATTTTTTTTCTAGAAGCTGCTCTACTTGGGTATTTTTTTCCATCTTGTCTTTTAGCTCACTGATATGGTCCTTTGCTTCTTTTAGTCTACTCTTGATGCTTTCTACTGAGTTCTTTACAGTAGCAATATCATTTTTCATTTCTTCTTGGTTCTTCTTCATTTCCTGGTGGTTCTTACTCATATTGTCAAATTTGTCTTCCATTCTTTTTAGCCACCTTATGACTATTTCTCTGAATTCTTGCTCCGATAGGCTGCTTGCCTCTAATTTGTTTACTTCCTTTTTTGGTGATGCTTTTCTTTCATATGCGGGCTGTTTGTCTCCCATGGTCTCTCTTCTCAGGATGTCTGGTTATGTAGTTCTTTCTCTCCTTTCTGTGGTGAAGAGCTCCATTGAATCTGCGTGTTTGAGCCAATTGGAAACTGGTGTTCTGGGGCTCACAGCTGTTCGGTGGTTTCCACGTTCTCCAATTTTCAGTTCTCCAATAAAATCCACTTTCCCTTGCAAGATAGTGCAGTTTTCAACCCTATGTCTTTTGACTGAAGTATTTAACCCATTTACATTTAAAGTAATTGATAGGTAGGTAGTTATTACCATTTTATTATTCATATTTTTATATTTCTTCCTCCCTCCCCTTCCTGTTCTTATTCGTCCTCTTCTTCTTTTTCAATAAGTTCCTTTAACACTTCCTATAATGCTGATTTAGTGGTGATGGAGCCCTTTAACTTTTCTTGTCTGGGCACTAAAGTTTTTTTTAGAGTACACGTAAGTGGAGAGACTCTGGGGGCTTTTTCATCAGAGGGTTGGAAACCAGAAGACATGGAGCTTCTCTTTCCAACTAACATCTTAAAGCCTCTCATCAGATGGGTCTAACTCACTCTTTCACACAAAGGAAATGCCTATGACCCATGGGAGACGGATTTCAGTTCATTTTAAGAAAGACATTTCTAACAGTCAAAACTACAAAAAAAAAAAAAAAAAAATCAGTAGAAACAGTATTCCCTGATTAAAATCATCTAAGTAGAGGCGAGGTGAGCCCTCCAGATCGATTCCTGCTCTGAATGGCGGTGTGAACCAGAGAAATTCCTTGCCTTTTCTCTACACACATGACATCTAGGTGTGTAAATATAATTATTTTAAAGCACACTTATAAAAATTCTAAGAAAGATACAGTGAAGTTGTAAGAGGGGAGAAAATATTATTGGAGAATCAACTATTTAAAATATGGAGTTAAGTCGAGTTTATTTCATTAAGGTACTTGTACATCACGACTTCTGTTTCCATGAGTCTGTATCACAAGCCTCCAGCTTCTCCCTTTCATCATGCACTGTGTTCATTTCACCGCAGCTAACCCCCTATGTTCTCCTTTTGGCACTTAGCAAGAACACTGACTGGTGCTGGAAATCAGAGTGAGTGTGTCCCTATATACACCCAAGACCTATGTGCACAGTGTCAGAGGCAGGAGGAGCAGAAAAGCCCAGAACCCTCCTGCGCTCTGCTTCCCATTAAGAAATGGGTGTCTAGCAGCTGCTCCTAGAAAGGAGCTCTTACCACAGCATCTACCAGGATTCTCGGAAAACTTGGCAAAATTCTGTGCTCAGGGCACTTGTGAGGAGAGGGTCTAAGTTTTCATCCACATCTCAGAGGTGTTTATGACTAAAAGATTGAGATCTATATTCAGGGCACACCTGCACCCCCTTCTCTGGGGCTGCAACATTCTCACTGCTGTGAGGGGTAGGGGTTGGGAGTTAGAAAGATTCTGAATGGTCTCCAACTCTAAAGCACCAAAGCAGAGAAACTGTGGTTGCAAACACCCTTGCTCACAGGATCGTGGCCCCCAAAGCCTTGATCTTTCAAACGATGAAGGCGTGTGTGGCCCTGAGCCTTAGGACACAGCGAATGACAAGTTCCAATGGCTTGACAGGTACATCTTAATCATAGCCATGTAAAGACTCAAGGGGACATGACTGGCCACACTGTCACTGTTATCACTAATTTAGTTACCAACTTTCCTGATTAAAAACAAAACATATTAAAAAAACACAAAAAAAAAACACCTGCCTTACTGTCAAAGATAACCTTATGCTCAAAGTTGCACAAGGAGGCAAAGAATGAATCTTCATGACGAAGTCGTTATTTTGAAATATTACCTCTTCCCCCACCCACCACCATGTGCCATTTGTCAATTAATAAAAAGTATTCCAGTATTGTCTACATTAAAATGGGAAGGTGGTCAGATAGAGAAATGGAACCCAGACCAATATCAAGAGAAATGTTTTCCTTCTCCAGAGGCCTTTAAAAATAAGACTGATCCTCATCTCTCTGAAATGGCAGAGAAAGAAGTGAGCCATTGAGGGCCTTTCTACTCCTGCTGTCTTTAAGTTGAGAACAATGAAAATGACTCAAAACCCAAAGGCTCATCCCGTGCACAGACCACAGCACATGGGTGCCTTCGGGACATGGTGTGACTGATACAAGGGCAGACCAGCTGGTAGAGTGCCCTGGCCACACCTATGAGCAGACAATCACACCACGGCTCTGAATAATTGATTTTGTACCACATAGTTTTGAAAACAGATTCAGGAATCTGCAGAATATTTTCAGCAAGTGATCTAACAGAAATGTTTTCTCTTTCAATTTAAAAACATTTGCTAGTGTTGATTGAAATGACGACACTTCAACATCCACCTGTGTTTACCTTAAATCTGTAATCAGAGATGGTGATGTAGAAATATACAGTCAATTGTCACTTAAAAACACACAAAAATTGAACATGCTATACACTCCTCTTTTAAAACGTATCTGTATTATTTTCACCAATCAAAACACATATTTTATTATAAAACATTAGGCAATATTACTTTGGAGATATGCAATCTGAGAGGTCACACCTGTATTTATTACCAGTATGAAACATCAGAGGCGTTACATTAGCAACAAGCAGATGACCTCGTAATCCTTACCACGACTGATACAGCATCAAATCCGGATGAAACCAGCATCCCACTCAACCTTTCCTCGAGGGACTCTGGCGGCCGGGCCGGCAAGGCCCTGCTGAAGGTGTCTCCCTTGGCACTGTGGCTCTGAGTTTGCCTCCCAAAGGTAAGAACAGAGCCACACTAGCATCTCCAGACCAAGCTGGTCAGCACTGAGCAGCGTGTGCTTCTAGAATGCTCTCCTGCTCGGACAGACTCTGCTCTCTGGAACCTGCACTTGAAATCAAGACCTGACAAGGGGAGGCAGTCATTTTGGTTTTGACTGAAAACGAACAAAACAAACCTAGTCCAAATTCCAGGCTAACAACACATTACCTGGTTTATAAAAATATGTGTCCAAAATAGTTACTTCCAGGGTTGTGTACAATATAAATTACAAAAATAAAATAGAGACGACAAAAAGTTGAGCACATTTTCAGTTCTTATCAGCGTTCACCCATAGCGACCAGTGTGAAACCCTGGCATTGCACCAGGCCCTGGCACACCTCCCTCGGAGGGGACCCCCAGGGGTGAGGTATTCCTGTAAGCTCTGCAGTCTGCACTCCCCACCACCTGATGGAAGGGGGCCTGGCACAATGTGGGTTCCATCCGGGAACACAAAGCAATGTGTGAGCAGGAAGTCCATCTGTGGGATGCCTGGGAAAGCGGACTGCCTTCAGTAAAGCTTTTAAAAGAATGTAGATTAGAGAGAAGGCATTTTAAGATGCTTTTACAGGTACAGTGATAACTGTCTTCACTCTACCATTAGGCCTCCAAAAGCAAAAATCACCCCAAGCCCCACAAAAGGTGTTTTTGCTTCAGTCCAAGTTAGTACTTCCATCTTGTACTTGCGTGTGTCTAAATCTCACAATATAAAACTGATTTCAATATTAAATTTGCTCATCAAAGGCTCTACTTTCCAGTAATAATACCAACCAATAAAATACAACTGGTGCAGAGAAAATCAAATGTAGGTAATATTTATAATAACTGTCTTATCAAAGTTCCTCCTCAGAACAATTTCACAGAATGTTGACCCAACAGCTTCCAAAATAATTGAACATGAGACAGGAATCCGTACAGAATAAGCTCTGGGGAAAAGCATTATGCACACAGGCAGCCAAAACGTGACCATCGGTAGCTCCATTTCTGCAGTGACACTGCAATACTCAGCATCTCAGTGAATTCTGAATAATTTCCACATGCAAACGTCTGAAAGTATCCATTTCAGGTGAGCAGTTAAGTCAGGAAATATTCAATAGTTAACCACTCCTCTCTCAGGGTCTCCTCCACCCCCTCTGCAGTTTTCCCAGAACACGCACCATGTCCCCGGGGAGCAGATGCCACCACGAGGTGGGAAACTGCTGGCAGGCTTTGGGCAGCGCCTGGCTCCTCACACAGACCGCGGGGAGACTAATGAGCTTCTCTCAGGGAAGAAGCCCCGCGGGCCTGCGGTGCTGGAAAAGGGAACCTGCCTTCGAAGTCACGTTCACCTTGAATGTGAAGAAGGGACCCATCTTGCTGGGGCGGAGCGAACGCTCAGTAAGTGCCTGTGATGCCCGTAGCGGTCCTTTGGAGAACCCCACTCTAAAGGCAGTGAGAGACTCAAGGAGTTAGGTGCCATCACATTATTGAAATGGACTGTTGGGGCTAAAGATGGTGAATTTCTAGGTAGCATTTTAAACTAATAGTAAGTTCATAAGACCAAGAAAAAAAGAGTTAGGCTCGACAAGATTTTAAAGGTATACATGTCTAAGCAGCACAAGATACAACTTGGAACTTTGTCATGCAGTGAGGCTGAATGTGCAGCCACCAGACTAATATGCATGTAAGTGTTTTAGCAGAGATAATTCTCAGCCCCAAACATGACAATTTTTTTTAAAGTTCTATTTTTTATTTATTAAATAGATTTAATTATGTTTCTTCTGAAATACAAAAGATAGAATAAATCATATCATAAAAGAAGGTGATATATGATAATATCATGGTGGCCAATTAATAACATAAACCTATTTTTTTCTGCACAGACACCAAAGTACTTAAGATTAAGAGGTAAGTCTAGAAACAGCACTACCTGGAAGACTATTTGGCATTTAAATATTGATTTCCAATGTTCTAGATGGCAAGTAAGAGCAAGCACTGTGGTCACATGCATATAAATCCCAACAGTTATTGAGGATGAGAAATTGTCACTAGAATTACCGTACAATTAAATAAACAAATTCATTCATTCTAATTGCTCACCTGAAATGACCTTGAACAAAATCTCTAAAAGTGTGGCTTGCACTGCTTTCTTCAGGCATACCTGCTTCACTATCATCTGGGCAGGCCCTGCTATCAGGCCTGAGCAGGGGCAAGGCATCATGTCTCTCACATGCAGAACACGGACTTTTCTATTTGGTTCCTACAACTCCCAGGCATTTCAGGCCCACGGGAGCGAGAGCTCCTCCCTGACAACAAGCTTGCTATTTCGAACTCATCATCGACAACCTTCAAGGGGTCCTGTGGAGGCATCGAGGCTGCTGTCTGTGTCTGAGGCCAGCGTCTGCTCGGTGGACATGGATGAAATGTCATTGATAGATGATGACTGAGAAGGAGTGGCGTTGCTGCTTACTGCTGCATCTGTGCTAAGAAAACCAAGCATAATAAAACCTGAGGCACGCCACGGCTGCACTCCCAGGCAGAGCAGCGGCCCCCCTCGCTCGGCCCTGTGGGTCCTGTCCTAATTGTCAGTATAAGTGAGAAGTTAGTTGACTGTACATTCTGAGCTTTTCCTAGAGTTTTCTTTAGGCCCAGAATCCCAATAGTCCTGCCTTTCCCTGCAACATTCTCCTTTTTTTCCTAGTGGCTAAGCATCATGTATGTATTCATGTATGAATATACCTGCTGGTTTAAAAAGGATATTAAAGAAAATTGCTGAATGTATCCAAAGCTTATCAGTATCTCGAATGGCTTAAGCCCAAATAGGATTCAAATGCCACCAGACATTTCATTTATAATCGCAAACACTTGATCCAAGGACAAAAGCAGCAGCCTTTGAATAATTATTTTGCAATAAAAATATCTTCTAAAACAAATCAGCAAGAAAGGGGGGAATGCGGTGTCCTCTTGCTCATTTTTTGTTTTAGAAATCTCCAAAATTGACATATTAAAGCAAATGAAATTATCGTTCTTGCTTCTATCCATACTTTGGTCTGGTCTGAGCAAAAATGACATATTCAGGCTCTCAGAGGTTAGTGTCTTAAATTTGGGCTTACTTAACAAAAAGCACCTAACCTTATGCTGAAGTTACACAACCTCTAGATGCCTGACCATCTGTCTTGCTGAATATAAAACTCAGGAATAAGAGGTAAGTAGTGCACACAAGCCACAGAAGTGGGGAGAGAAAATTTCTATGACTGAAGAGTTTCCGTGGGAAAAACAGGAACAGCACATGTGATGTCTCTAGCGGTCATGCAATTACCTCGCTGTTAGGCTTCTCCTACCGCTGTTAGGTAGGCCATATGAAAAACTTTCTCAAAAGAAAACCAAATTCATTTTAATTGGATTCACATTGGTTTTCTTTTTAACTGGGTGGGGCCAGTACATTAAAAAGGCCTCACACTCAGTTTCCTCATCTGTAAACGGAGCCAATGGCAGTGCGGCAAGGATGGGACAAGAATGTTCATACTGAGGCCATTCACTGCTTGGCTCCTCAGTCTAACGCTAGCTGCCACCCCAGGACAAACCCAGATGGGAGGCTAATGCACACACGAATTTTCAAATCCAATGCTGGTCAAGCTGGCACGTGATACACTCCTGCGTCTGTAGAAGTTGACCAGGGAAAGGAAAAACGTGATCCAACTATTAAAGCAATGACTAACCTGAAGGCTGGTCTTTGACAACACCGTTCTTGCTTCTCTCTTCCCAGTCCATGACTTCTTTGTAAATTAGCTCTGCAAACAGAAGGGGGTTACAGCTTTTAACCCTCTTCCAGGCCAACTGGAACTACTCTGAGGGCACTGTGATGTGTTATGTTTAGTGTGCTGTTCAGTTAATTCAGAAAAACAGTCGACCTACACCAAACTATCCATGTTTTGATAGATTACATCTTTTCGACCCAATTATTAAGGCACCAGAAATGCAGGTGGTTCTGGGTCCATGAGGAGGTAAAAAGGGGACAGGTAGACAAGAAAGAGAGATAAACAAGAGAGAAAGACAAAGCTAGCAAAGTGGCTCTCACAGAACATTTAAACTGTTGAATGCTCTCACACGTGTTTGTGTGTTTCTTTGTTATTACTGTGGTTCTCCAGACAGGACCAGCATCCACATGTGAGCTAGAAGCACCTCCAGACTGGCCAGAAATTAATCCAAATACCTAACTTTTTCTTGGCTTCAACTTGGTTTTCCTTGGTAAGAAAAACAATTAACCATTAATTAATCTATTAGGGGATCCTAAAATTTTAGTATTCGTGAAATAAAATGAGCCTGCCTTCACCACAAAGTGTGGCTGTGTGTGAGGCCCTGCTGTGTGTGTGCACGCGGTCACTGGCACTCCAGGCTCCCGGGGAGGCACCCACGTCACCTGTTTTGACTTGTGCTAACCATGGTTCTCAATTACTAGTGACTCTAACTTTTAATAAAAAATCGTTAGTTCAGACTCTTTATTGCTGGTTTAGTTTGTTGTGAGTTGTTTGGTTAATCTCATAGTGGAATAAAAATTATCTGCATATTTGTGACCTGCTATTTTGCCCAAATTCTATTTTAAAACACACATACAATCACATGATTTATGTATTCATCTCAAGTACCCCAGGTCTGCTTTACAGGGTTTATAAACTGGGGGTACCCAACATTTCGCAACATGTCATCAGGTATGATATAATTAGTGTGTTTATTTGAAAAACCAGGATTTGATAATGTAAGGTCATGTGAAAAAGCCCTTATTTTTCTCTTTTAAAGCCACTAATACAAAATTCATACATGTTCCTCCTTACCTCTGTTACCTTCAAGTTCCTTTTCTCCTGGGAAGGGGGGAAGAGGGAGGGTAATGGCCCATAGGGTTTCTTGTTCCTGCCCCCAAAGGCTATTATTGACAGGTGAGAAGTGCCCCTTCACAGGACTTCAAGAAATGTCATAAGTATGGATCAAAATAAGCTCCCCATTACCTTTCCATTCTTCAATCGCATGTTCTCTTTCTTCTAACTGAGCATCATAAATTTGAGGTGGTGGCTAAAAATTAAGTTACACATAAAGTCAATTAATTTATAAAATAATGAGGCATTAAGAAAAGGGTAGAATAACTGGAGGACTTCTAATATATTTATGATATGAATGTAATTTCTTTCAAACATAGCTTATGAAAGAGTTCTTCATAAGTGTGATATATATCAGTTTAAGAATCAAAATAATTAAGAAAAAACTAACCAATAAAATAAAGCTCTTAGTGTCCTCTTTATAATCACATGACCTCAAAAAACTTTAAAGCTATCTGCTCAAATCTATATCCTATCTAATAAAAGAGAAACATGCAAATTGAGCATACCTCTGCTACACCCACAAGCCACACCCAACAGCCAATCAGGAGCAAGTATGCAAATCAACACAACCAAGATGGTGGTAAATTTGCATATCCAGGCGCAAAGCAAAGATTGAAGACAGTGTAGAAGTAAGCCAAGAGCTGCAGAAGGGACTGAAGCTGCAGAGAAGCAAGCGGGAGGCAGTAACAGGAGGGAAGCAGGCGGGGCCGCGGAGAAGGGAGAGAGGCAGGCGAAGGGAGAGAGGCAGGCGGGGTGGCAGAGAAGGCTGCAGGAAGCTCTATTCTTGCAGGAATCTTCCTGCAACAGGCCTCTAGTATGTATTTAAAGCCTAATATGCAAGTTTCCCCTTGGGTAGCTTGCTATAGTGTGCGCTGACCACCAGGGGGAAGCATGGAATGAAGGAAGGCCCTGGCTGGCAGGCAGCCAGCAGCTGGGGAAGGAAGGCCCTACCTGGCAGCTGGAAGACCCTGATCGGCCCTGGTTGCTGGCCAGGCCTAACGACTCTCTGTGTGCATAAATTTCATGCATTGGGCCTTTAGTGTAATTATAAAACAAGTCATCAAAGGCTACTTCCTAGAGACCCTTGGGACAAGGCACATTGGCAGGAAACAGAAGGGGGAGAACGAAGTCCAGATTGACAGTCACTTCCACCCCCATCCCACCCCCACCCATCAGTGCACTGATCCAAAAACTTGCTTAAAAATCACGCTTATATAGCAGATTCTTCATATAAAACAATGTTTAAAAATGGAGGTTTTAAAAAGAATAATACATAAAAATAAAAATAACAATAAAATGGAGGTTAAATCCAGAGGCCAAGACATAAAAATGAGTTCCACTGCTGGCACCCAGTCAGCATCCACTACGCACTTCTTTCACTCACCGCTGAGGATCGGCCCCAGGGTGGAAACAGGCACACAGCACCGGCTCAGAGCGGACGCCTCTAGCCGGTGCTCCCGGGAAGGACAAACAAACTTGTGATTTTCAGCAAGTTCCTTAGCCTGGCTGGGTGCCTAAACAAGATGATGTAACCAAAGCACAAGACACAATGTCAGGTACACATGGAGCTTAAAAATGGCGATACGATGGCCACACGCCAGCATCCGCATCCAAGATGAGTCTGGCTGCAGCATAAGCACGTTCCCTTCCTCAGTACTCTGAGCTAGAGCCCAGCGACAAGTGCTCCAAAGGGGCTGGGCCCATCACATGGCCTCTGTGATCCTCTTGATGTAGGACCTGCTCCCTTTATGCAGACACTGCAGACCGGACAGAAGACCCTAGGAAACTAAGTCCCTGAACATGTCTCTTCACGAGAGCTGCTTACCGCTTCGGCTTCAGCGGGGTCATACCACACAGTAATGTACGGGTGGCGCAAAGCCTCGTCCACGGAGATTCGCTTGTCAGGGTCTATCACTAACATTTTGGATAACAGATCTCTGGCTTGACTTGCTAGAGTAAATACAAATATTAGATTAGTAACCAATGTTGTTTATCTGAAACTGCACCATGAAGAACTAACTGTGACAGCACAGACAGAACAAAAATGGGCCTGGCTGGTGTGGCTCAGTTGGTTGTCACATGCACCTGGGAAGGAGGTGCAGGAGGCAGCTGAACGATGTTCTATCTCTCCCCTCCTCTCCCTCTAAAATCAATAAAGGTTTTTTTAATGTATTAACTTTGAAAATTTTTTGATAGGTTCAAGATCAAGAGCTTAAAACTATCAGCCTCTTTCACTAAAAACCAGGCTTTGAAAGTGGTTTCAGCCTCTGGGTCTGGGAGAGAGAGACAGAGCCCCAGGGAGCCTCCGGCAGGGAGGGCGCCGAGCGGAGCCGTGGCACTGCCCGCTGTGCAGACACGAAGCACAGGCGAGCATGTATTTCACATGTCATTCCAAAGTGAAGCCAGAACTGACCTTCAAAGCCACACAATAACCTCACGTTTGCACAGGATAGGACACTTCCCAGATGCCTCTGCTTTGCCTACCTGTATACAATGTTGTCAACATACACTTGTAAAAAATCTAGAGATTAGAGTAGCTAAAAAAAAAACCCCAAAACCTTCAATAACTTAAATACAAGGCTCACCAAGGTTTTGGCAATTAAAGTTGACATCTATAGGCAAAAGAGAGATGGGGCTTTTCTGATTGACAGGCAATTTACCTTGATGTGGAGAAACAAATCTCTTCTTTTCCCTTAAATCACATTTTAATGATGGACACAGAAAAGGGAGGAGCTTCTTTTGAATTGAACTTGAAGCTTTCTCTTCCCAATGCCTTCGCTCTAGCTTGTAAATGGCTTTACTTGAGGGTTTCAACTATTTTATTTCCCAATATTCACAAGTTTTAGAACACAAACATAAAAAAAAAATGAATGCTTCACCCAGATTATGAAAACAAGAAAAGCTATCTTACTTTTAATTTTATCTCGTTCCGATTCTGATGGGAATATCCAATCTGGAAAGAGTTCTTCAAATTTGATTCCAGGATACTTTGGTCTGTTTTCTACATAATTCCTCACCGTTGGCTGAAGTTTCTTCATAAAATCTGCAGACGGTGTTCCTAGCTGCTCAATCACTTTATTCCACTGATCAATATCTAAGGAGTCTCTTGAGGAAAATACAACTGAAATGCCTTATATTCCTATTACATGAAGTAGTACCATTCGAAGAAAAATAAATTATATTTATACCTGCTGACAGTAATTAGCTATGCCACTCTATGGGGCCAAAAGAAGCATTTTGAAATAATACTCAAATAAGGTTTGAGTTTCCAAGTTTAAATCATTAAAAAACAAACAACAAAAAAACTCTTACACTCTTTATAAACTATGATCACATTTTATTAAATCAATGAGTTCTATGTGCCTTCCCATTCTAGATCGAAATAAAGATATCTTGTAACTGAAGAATACCTATGACAGAAATGCTTATCTATGAAATGAGACAGTAATTACATAGGCAAACTGAAACCAGTTTTCATACTAACGCTAAGTGAGATATAAAGCTCCCTACACTGGAAGCCCTATGGGACTTCTCAATTCACAGCTGGGGAACACAGCCCTGTGAGGCAGGGCCCACATCTGGAGCTTGCTACCATTTTCACTTAAAAAAAAAAAAAAAAAGTTGTCAATACTTGTCTCTCTGGTTCCCAGACTCTTGCTCTACCTTAACTGTCTGTCCTCTTGTCAGGCTTTCCCCCATCTCCCCAGGAAGTCTAGCCCAGACAGGCTGCCGGTGGCCATCCCTCTCCAGGGTCATTTGCCAACCCTTACCTTTTTAACAGTGCCGCCCAGCGTCCCGCAGCAACTCCCCCTGGCTTCTAGGCCTCTCCTGAGGAAGGCCTGTTACCTCCTCGGCTTCTCTTTTCTCTGCCACCCGGGGGCCTGGTCCTCCTCCTTTGTTCCCTCTCAGCCTTTACGCAGCATGGCAGTCTGATGGCCCATCTTTGTTTCTCCAGCCCAAACCTCTCTCCCAAGCTCAGCTCTTGATATCGCCAGGGTCTGACATGTCTCAGAACTCTAACAAGGCTGACCTTCAAAACAAATGCAGCGTTTCAGCCGCCTTCCCTACCATCTGGTGGCTTCCTTGCGATAGCCCTTGACCTTGCAGGTCCACCCTCAGTTCAGCAGGTGGGCCATCCTTTTCCATTTTAAGTCAGCTGAGAGCCTAGGAGGGAGTGGGTGTTCAACAAACACTCCTGAGTTGATGTCTATAGACCACAGAGGGGGAGGCGACAGGGGGCCTGGCTGTCCCCTGTCCCCAAAGCCTGGCTGACATCCTGTGTGTGAAGGTACCACTGAGCTCTCACCACTGAGGAACCGAGGCTCAGAGAGGCTCCGACTCTTCCAGGATTCAGACACCATGTTGGAGTCAGAACATGGCTCGGCTAAAGCTTTCTCTTTCTCATGGACCGTGCAGGGACAGGAGTTTTCTACCGCACGTCACAAATCTAAAGCAGATCTATAAGAACTGCAGACTAGTTGTCTGAATCATTTCTATCCCAGTAATTTTTAATGTTTGAAAACTGGCAAAATTATCTTTGAAAGTGATGTTAATCTCCATGTGTGTTCTGAAAACTACATTAGGTAATCTCATATATACACTTATTAATTGTGGACACTGTAAGATGTTAATATGTAAAGTAGGAATTTTAAATTACTTAATGCTCCAAAAAGTACTCACATTTTTCATTTTTGTACTTTATGAAGAAAACATTTCTTAATACAAAAAGGGAAGGCATAAAATGAATAAGAATTGAGACAAACTGAATGTTAATTAGATACTTTTAAATGATTTATCTTTAGAGTATATCAATTTTTCTCTTTTTAATTGACTTTATTTAATTTACCCCCTTTCTTACAGTTTAAAACAAGTGAATCTAAGGTAGATTATGAGAAACTAGTAGAAAAATTTCTAGAACAAAATAAAATGCTACATTTAACCTCACATAACATCTGAGATATGGTAAATGACAGGAATAAAACCTTTTCATTCCAAGTTGTGAATAATTTATAATACAAAAACCGCCCTCATAAAATTATAAAAAATGAAAATTAACAAAATACAAACACTGACTACACAGCTTGATTTCCTTTAAAAAACAACAACAACATCTGTTTGCCAATGAACAGAGACACTTAAAGATTTCATAACAAAAAACAAAATCAAAGATTAATGAAAATATTAAGTGGTTAGAACACAAATGAAAAAGGGCATATGTGAAGAACCATGTTTGCATAAAAAATATTAGAGATGGAAGAACATGAGGAATATGAGGAAAAAAAGCTATATTATCTATTTACTTTGTATTAATATGATTTCCTGACCACAGGATAAGTTAATTTTTGCATTTTAAATTTATTTTAGACTTCCCAGTGTCTCAAAAATACCTTTAAGCAGGTTTTTAAAAATTTTCTACTAAATGTCATAAGTAACAAACAAGAAATTTAGCATATGTTGTTCCTCACCAACTTTCACTTTGATCTTTTTCATTTAGCTGTTATGTAGTGTGCTCCCGTTCTTTGGGGGCAAGTATTTTAATGCATACTAATAACTAAAAAAATAGGATATTAATTAACCTGTTAACCGAGCAGGACTTATAAATACGTCAAACGTAAACAATATGGGGAACGGGTAGGATGTATGAATACGTCCTTGAAATATATGTTGCGCCCCGAGAGGGACGGTATATATTTTTTGTAATCTTTTTTTTTTAGAGTATTTTATTGATTTTTTACAGAGAGGAAGGAAAGGGGAGGGAGAGTTAGAAATATCAATGAGATGTGAGAGAAACATCGATCAGCTGCCTCTTGCACACTCCCCACCGGGGATGTGCCGGCAACCAAGGTACATGCCCTTGACCGGAATCGAACCCGGGACCTTTAGGTCCGAAGGCCGACGCTCTATCCACTGAGCCAAACCGGTTTCGGCTATTTTTTATAATCTTTATCATTGTTTGTAAAATTTATAATTTTTTAATTCGACGTGTCCATTTTTTTTGTCGGTATTCTTTTCTATTTCTTTTTTGTAATTTTGTATTTTCCTTTGTGCTTTATATCTATAAATAAACGAATATATATATATATATATATATATATATATATATATATATATATATATATATATAATTTATTTTCATTAAGTATAAATCAAAAAAATAATATGAAATTACGTCCTCCGGGCCTGACATACTGACACGTACTAGTGAAAGAGTGCGCGCCCGTTACAGGTTGCGTCATTAAAAAGGGAACTCCCCGGTTAACAGGTTAAATTATGCAGGCATACTTATTGACCTATTAAATCTAGACAGCAACTTGCCTAGGTAAATTAACTAAACGAACTAAATAAGTAACATTTTCATTTATATCAGAATATATTCATCAAATAGTAAATAGATTTCTAATAAGCTACTTTTTATACTAATATAATTAGTTTAACTTAACTCCAAATCTCAATAAAATCATGAAAGGTAGTCAAGTAAAAAAGAAAAGGTAAAACTGAACCGCGTGGTTTGTGACGCTAATTTAACGGACACAGACGGCCTTACACCCAGGCTGGAGCTCCGGCATTTTCCTGGGAGCTCCGGCTGCTTGTGTGCTTAAGGGAAGCATGGCCGGAAGGTCCGGGAAGGATACGGTCAGTGCCTTGGAATATCACACAACCTTTCACCAGCTCGCCCATGATGCAACCCACTGACCAGATATCAACTGAAAATAAGATGAAATGATAAAATTATAAAGTGCCATGACAAAACAAAGGTGAGGAAAGGAATTCTAACAGTGTGCTACACACACAGACATGGCAGGATGAGTTGCTAAGGGTGAACTTCACACAATGTGAATGGTGGCGGCCTCCATTGCAGCCACCAGTGCACAGCAACCTGGGGTTTCAGTGGCCAAGATCCCAACACTTTACAGCGGAAAAGACAGACAACACCCAGCAGCAGAAGTGCCTGTGCCACGCCCGCCCGCCCTGTGGCCGTGCAGGTCTCCGTGTGAAGGATACAGTCTCTTCCTGGGAACAGGACTTTATGGAGAACCATTTCTGCCATGATGCACCCGACAGACCAGATGTCCACTACCAAACACCAGGTGATTAACGCCAGCAGAGACCCACACCCGCCTCCACTCCCTCCCACAGCGACAAACGCAGCTGGGAACACCACCCGCCTCCCGAAGGGGCCTTTCCTAAACCGCAGGGCCGCTCCGAGGCGGCTTGCTCTCCTGAGCTCCAGGGGAGGCCTGCCAGGCGCCCTGACTTCCAGCTGCTCACGCTCTCCTGGTGGGCCAGCTGAGCTGGGCAGGGGCTATCTAGTGCCCTCGCTGAGGGGGCGGGGGGTGGGTAAGCGGGAATCTCGTTCTCTCCCTCCGCAGGAAACAGAGGCCCAGAGCGGAGTCCAGTGGGAGCACAGCTTATGGAACATGTAAATAAATCTGAGGAAGAGTCCACTTCAGAGGGCTGGGCAAACTTTCAGGATTTTTAAAACAAGTTAAGTGTGATTTCATTCTTTTTGGCGAATTTGTGAAAAGCTAAGTTTGAAAGAGCTCTGTTATTCTGTTATTGCTAGAGTAAGTTAAGTTTTGATGTGACTAGTAAGCAACTTTTCTATGCAAAAAAGAATATATATTATTCCATTTATATCAAGTTCAAAAATAAGTAAAACCATCAGTGGTGCTGGAAGTGAGGCAGATAGCTTCCCATGGGGACTAGGCCGGAAGGGCCCGGGGAGCCCGGGTGGTGCTGGGGGTGTGGGTGCGCTCCCCGCGAGTGCACACCTGCGATTTATATTCTTTTCTGTAAGGACGTTTTGATAAACATTCAGCTTCAAAAGCGAATGATTTTAACTAACAGGAATATAAAAGTAATGTTTGTTTATTTGTGGACTGTGATAATCTGTGTGTAACACAGTCCCCACATTGTATTTCATATAATCACAGAAAAGAGACAACACTGTGATGACGAACGGCACCATTTTAAACATCTCAGCCCCTCCGGTCCCATCTGCACTCACCGTTCTCCTTGTAGCCCATACCCAGGATGACTTCCGGCGCCCGGTAATACCGTGTCACCACGTAGGGGGTCATCATGAAGTTGGTGCAGGCTGTCCGGGCTAGGCCGAAGTCCAGGATCTTAAGCGTGCAGTCTGACTTTACTACGATGTTGCTAGGTTTCAAATCCTAGGACAGAAACGGTTTAAGTGAATAAAATGCCCAAAGCACGCTACCAGTAAAGAAACAACTGCACGCTGGCAGGGAGCTGAGAGGTCAGTGACTGCCGAGGTGCATGAGTGCTGGCAGGGGAGGCAAGTTAGAATGGAACCCTGGCATTTGGAACAATTTTGGAAAATCCTATTCTCAACCAGAAACGATATGAATAAGCCTGAAGAAGTCAGGTAGTTGCCCTCACTCCCATGTGGAAATGCTCATGACCTTTACTAAAACTTTCTGAGGGGGGAGCTGGCCGGGCTGAGGGGCGAGGGGCTGGCGCCCGGTGTGAGGAATGAGCCTGCCACTCGGGCAGGGTCCACGCTGCCCTGTTCCATGGTGCCCCGACCGCCACACCCTGCACCATGCTGGGCCGGCACGGAGAACCTGAGGCCGGTGTGCCCGGCTCACATGCGGAGAGGGCAGCGAGATGGGAACCTCCCCAGGTTCAAGCCCTTGACAGCCCATTCTGTGGAAAGCACAGCTTACATGGGCAACAGCGCCGGCCCAGCAGCCAGCGCCGGAATACCACTCCAGGGAAGCACCTCGTCACGGACAAACGAGGAAGGACTTGCTGGTGGGTGGCTGCTGTAGCATCATCCACCAAGCAGCACTGCACACTGAGAGCACTGCGTTTCCTGCTGCCTGCAGCCCAGCGCTGCCTCCTCCGGGGGCAGCCTCCTCCGGGGGCAGCCTCCTCCGGGGGCAGCCTCCTCCGGGGGCAGCCTCCTCCGGGGGCAGCCTCCTCCTGGGGAGCCTCCTCCTGCAGCAGCCTCCTCCTAGGACAGCCTCCTCCTGGGACAGCCTCCTCCTGGGACAGTCTCCTCCTGCGGCAGCCTCCTCCTGGGGAGCCTCCTCCTGGGGAGCCTCCTCCTGGGACAGCCTCCTCCTGGGGCAGCCTCCTCCTGGGGAGCCTCCTCCTGGGACAGCCTCCTCCTGGGGAGCCTCCTCCTGGGACAGCCTCCTCCGGGGACAGCCTCCTCCTGGGACAGCCTCCTCCGGGGACAGCCTCCTCCTGGGACAGCCTCCTCCTGCAGCAGCCTCCTCCTAGGACAGCCTCCTCCTGGGACAGCCTCCTCCGGGAGCAGCCTCCTCCTGGGGCAGCCTCCTCCGGGAGCAGCCTCCTCCGGGGGCAGCCTCCTCCGGGAGCAGCCTCCTCCTAGGACAGCCTCCTCCTGGGACAGCCTCCTCCTGCAGCAGCCTCCTCCTAGGACAGCCTCCTCCTGGGACAGCCTCCTCCGGGAGCAGCCTCCTCCTAGGACAGCCTCCTCCTGGGACAGCCTCCTCCGGGAGCAGCCTCCTCCTGGGGCAGCCTCCTCCGGGAGCAGCCTCCTCCTGGGGAGCCTCCTCCTGCGGCAGCCTCCTCTGGGAGCAGCCTCCTCCTGGGGAGCCTCTTCCTGTGGCAGCCTCCTCCTGCGGCAGCCTCCTCCTAGGACAGCCTCCTCCTGGGACAGCCTCCTCCTGGGACAGCCTCCTCCGGGAGCAGCCTCCTCCTGGGGAGCCGCCTCCTGGGGAGCCTCCTCCTGGGGCAGCCTCCTCCGGGGGAGCCTCCTCCTGGGGAGCCTCCTCCTGGGGCAGCCTCCTCCTGGGGCAGCCTCCTCCTGGGACAGCCTCCTCCTGGGGCAGCCTCCTCCTGGGGAGCCTCCTCCTGGGACAGCCTCCTCCTGGGGAGCCTCCTCCTGGGACAGCCTCCTCCTGCGGCAGCCTCCTCCTGGGGAGCCTCCTCCTGGGACAGCCTCCTCCTGGGACAGCCTCCTCCTGGGACAGCCTCCTCCGGGGGCAGCCTCCTCCGGGAGCAGCCTCTTCCTGGGACAGCCTCCTCCTGCGGCAGCCTCCTCCTGGGGAGCCTCCTCCAGGAGCAGCCTCTTCCTGGGACAGCCTCCTCCTGCGGCAGCCTCCTCCTGGGGAGCCTCCTCCTGGGACAGCCTCCTCCTGCGGCAGCCTCCTCCTGGGGAGCCTCCTCCTGGGACAGCCTCCTCCGGGAGCAGCCTCCTCCTGGGACAGCCTCCTCCTGGGGAGCCTCCTCCTGGGGAGCCTCCTCCTGGGACAGCCTCCTCCGGGAGCAACCTCCTCCTGGGGCAGCCTCCTCCTGGGGCAGCCTCCTCCGGGAGCAGCCTCCTCCTGGGACAGCCTCCTCCAGGTTGTGCATTGAACTGTTTGGCTAAATGCAGGGCATAATGCCAGTGCATGCAGCACTAGAACCTCTACAGGGATCTCACAGCAAAAACACTCCCATGGAGCGAGCCTCCCAAGAGACTTGCTCGCACACTGCGCTGGAGCACTGGCAGCCGAAGCCGGGCCTCAGTCCTAGTCCCTGGAAGAGGTTGTGGTGGGAACTTTGGCTTTGGCTGCTTCTTGTGTGTACGCTTTGGCTTCACTCCAGGTGGGGCTGTTCTGTAACGCAGCCCGAAACACCGTAAAAGAAAAGAGCTGGTGCTTTGGGCCCCTCCAACCTTGCAGCCGTGCGGGGACCCAGTCACTCAGTGCTCGTCGGGCCCTTCACTGTACGGTTCTTTAGTGGGTTTCTTTGTGTGGGAAATTGTTTCATACAGGAAAATGCCTTCCCTGATACACTGAATATATTCAAGGAAATTCTTGTTGTTTTCTTGAGTTTCATGAGTTAAGTCATCCCTTCACCCACAGAAAATGTTTGGCCTCTTAGAATGTGCATGTTCTCTCAAGGTGGTTATTTTGGGTTTTGTTTTAACAGCATCTTCAAGAGAGGGCCCTGAACACCTTATGCTGCCATATAAAATTGCCTAAAAACTCTAAAGATACCTTTCCATTCTAATCCGATGACAAGTTCCAGCAGCCTGCATCATGTGCTGTCAGACTACTGCTAGGCGTCTGGGATACCTGTATGCCTGTGCACGAGCACCATTTTAAACAGAAATTCTGACTCATTGTCCTGAAAGACTTTGTTCTCATTTCCTGTGAAGTGACTGGTCTGCTCAGCCATGGTCCAGGGGAGCCTCCTCTCTCCCATCATGGAAATCTCATGTTAAGGGGATGCCTCAATGGAGATACATCTAGCCACTGGCTATGGGGGGGGGGGGTCATCCTTTATTACTTTCAGATGTAACAGGTACAGAAATTGGGTTTCCCAGAGAAACCAAGATGGTGGCATGAGGCAAACACCTAAATGTAGCCCACCACAACAATTTTAAAATTACAACTGGAAAACAGAGTGAACATCATCCAGAGAATAAAAGAGAAAGGGACTCTGAGCCTCAGGAGTTGTGGAGGTGCAGAGATCCGTGAGCACGGAAAGGGCTGGTAGCTGAATATGCTGCTGGCTTACTCGCAGTGCACACAGAGAGGGCGGGCTGCTAATGCACGGCTAGCTTTTTTGTTCAGGAGGAAAACAAAACCTCCCTATTGTACTGATACAGCTCTGGCCAGGGAGAAATTGGGCTGTCAGGCAGTGATCAAAACTCGAGAGCAGCCTTCTCTCAGAGGTGCGTGCGGCCAGAAGCCATTGCTGCGGGACTCTGAGCAAATGACCCTCTTAGGGCGGGGCTGACGGGAAACCAAAGCTTGTCTGCACCACCCTGAGACTCTGCCCCATCCAAGCTGAGCACAGAAGCCCTCCTAGCTGAGACACTGCTGAGCCTCATAGGCAATTGGCTTGGAGATCAACGCTTCCCAGTGATACCAACAAGAAGCAAGGCTTAACAACAAGATTGCACACACAGCCCACAAAGGGCTACACCAAGACTGTCCACCTCAGGTAACCGGGAAGGCTGTGCTACTGGGCTCTGCCAGGATACCTAGCACACAAAACTATTCCATCAAACCAGGAAAGCAGCTAAAATGCAGAGAAGAGGCAGGACACAAAGGAAGGAAATGGAGAAAAGTAAAAGAATGGACATTGAGTTAAAAAACCACAGTTATAAGGTTTTTCAAGAATTCCCTAGAAAAGTTCGATAAAATAAATAAGACCTTTGAGGATATGAAAAGGAATCAACTAGAAATAAAGAATACATTGTCTGAAATAAAAAATATTATACAGAGTCCTAAAAACAGACTGGAAGATTGCAAGAATCAAGTCAAAGATTTGGAACACAAAGAGCCAGAGGACACTCCTCTGGAGAAGCAAGAAGAGAAGAGAATCCAGAAAGTTGAAGATAGTGTAAGAAACCTTTGGGACAACTTCAAGCATACTAACATCAGAATTATGGGGGTCCCAGAAGAAGAGACTGTGCAAGATACTGAAAACCTATTTGAAGAAATAGTGACAGAAAACTTCCCCCACCTGGTGAAATATATTACAAGTCCAGGAAGTACACAGAACCCCAAACAAGAGGAATCCAGGGGGATCCAAGATGGCTGCGCCCAGGTGAACACCTAGCCGCAGCCGCACACAACAATTTCAATAAAATACAACTAAAATATAAAACGGACATTGCCCAGAACTACAGGAAGGTTGACTGACTGGAAATTCTACAGTGAGAAGCAAGGAGAAAACCAGAAGGAGGCGGGGAGGAGCTGGAAAAGCCCAAGGTACGGAGACGCAGCGCGTGGAGAGGACAGAGTCGGAGAGGAGGGAGGCAGAGTGCCTGGCGGGCGTTCCCGAGCGGAAAGGAGAGAAAACTCCGACTGTGCTGGGCCCCCGACTGCTCTGAACCCCAGTTTTAGGCCAGACCCCGGGGACTCAGGCTCAGCCATAGGGAGCCGGGCTGTAAGGCGGAACCCCGCGGAGAGGCGAAAGGAGGTCCCGGAGGCGCTCACACTGTGCGCAGAGAAGGGACGGTCGGCTGTGCCGCGGGATTGCCCTGACGGGAAGGAGACTGGGGCTCCAGACTGCTCCGAACGCCACCTCCAACTCCACTTCCAACTGAACTGAACCCCAACACCGGGCTCATTGGGGGAGAGCATAGACTGTTTGGCAGCAGGCGAAAATCGAGGGCACCTTTCTCTCAGAGGCACCGGCAGCGAGCACAGAAGGACCCGCATAGGGCGGGGCTGACGGA